GTAAGACTTTGCAAATGGATGCTTGTTTCTGTGATCTCCCTCTGAATTCTGCACCTGACTGAATGGAATTGCTAAGCAGGTCTGCCTGCTCTCCTTGGCCTTATTGCAGCCTGTTCCACTCGGAGTGCCTTCTACCCATCCTTCGTCCAGACTGTCCTCAGAAGTCCCCTCTCTTCTTGACATCTCTTCACTCCCCTCAGGGGGACTCTTTCCCTTGAACCTACAGAGATGCCACACAGCTGTCTGTGGCACTTGACACTCTATCATGTCACCTCCATGGGGACGCGTTCTGTGACTTCTGCACCCGTGTGTCCTCAAGACCTCCACAGCAGTAGGAACACAGCAGACTCTCAATAAATATTCATGGCATGAACCAACTAGACAGTACTCCATTGCTAAGCTGTACACTTTCTAAAACTGAGACTCACTTTAATTTTTTTTTTTGTGTGTGTGTACTGGGGTTTGAACTCGGATCCTGGCGCCTGCAAGACAGGCCACCAAACCGCTGAGCTAAATCACTGGCCCTTACACTCACTTTCATTTTTAAAAAATTCCAAAATAATACTTTACAGTTGAAAGCTTAATACCATTTCAGGATCATTGGAAGCATCGGTGCCTCTTCTGTCGGAAGATCATCTCCAGCGAAGTGCCCCGCCCCAATGTTTATACTCTTGTGTGGTTCCCTCGTCTGGAACCTGGGCTGGTTGTGACTTGCTCCTTGACCAGTAGAAAGGGGAGGAAATGATGCTAAATTTTTTTTTTTCCTTCCCTGGTATCCAGGATCAAACTCATGACCTTGTACTTGCGAGGCAGGCAAGGCACCACTGAGCTACATCCCCGACCCCAAGCTGAAAGATTTCTAATGCTGATTCCTTCTGCTTGGTGTGTTGGAACACTAGCTCCTGGGACACTCCCTCTGGGACCCCAGCTCTGTGCTGTGTGGTGCTCAGGTCTCAGGAAGAGGCCGAGTGCAGGCCACCTAGACCCCTGATGGGCTGGCTATCAGCCAAGAGCAGGTCAGCGCCCTCACAGGGAGGAGCACAAGGACACCCAGCCTGTAACCGGATCCACCATTTCATTGCGACGTCTCCCATGAGACCCGCCCAGCTGGACCTGGCCGACCCACAGGACTGTGGGGGACACTAATAAAATCAGATTTTAAGCCAGTAAGTTTCCGAGTGCTTGTCGGGCAGCAATGGATAGCCAGGACATCTTCGAAGTGAGTGAAATGTTATGCTTGGAATTAATAAATCGAGAACAGTTTAACCTCTCCGGCTGCAGTAGGCCTTGGAAATCTATGCTACTTTTATTTCACAAACAACCTGCTGGCCTTGCGTTTCAATGACTATTCTGAAATGTGGACTTTCCTTTGCGTAGTTGTATGCCATGGACACATTAGCAGATCTATCTCGAAAATCTTAGTTCCTTCTGTGCCAGTTCATCCCCATCAGCTCCCCATGCAATGATGAGAAATGACAGAATAAATTCCATTCTGTAGGACCCAGTCTGTTGTCCATGTTATTAGAATGGAACCGCAGAAGGATATTTTTATGGTCCTTTCAACGCAGCTGTCAGTTCTCCGGAGAAATAATCGGTGGCAGGCTTTTGTCAGCAGCCTTCACTTAGCTCCTGTCTGTTGGACAGTTCTCCATTTTTACTTTAAGGTATAATTTACATACAATGAACGAATTCTTCATAGCACACAGCCATACAGGTGTGGGCCAGCATAGGCAGCTGCGGAATCACGGATCGTCCCATCACTCCCAGAATCTCTTTTCCCCTCAGGAATCGAGCCTCTCTCCACTCCAGATGACACTAATCTTTCCGGAAAGAGTTGATTCAAATGAAATGTGTAGAATATAAGACTAATCAGTCGAGAGTCAGCAACCCAGCGGCATTTGGTACATTTGCAATGTTGGGCAGTCACCACCTCTGTCTACTTCCAAAATATTTCCTTTACTCCAAAGCACAACTCCTTCTGCTTTTCTCCCCGACTCCTTAGCCCCATCCCTGGCTACCACTGATCTGCATTCAGGCTCCAGGGATTTTTCTACTTTGAATATTCCGTATAAGTAGATTCATAGACCATGTGACCTTTTCTGCCTGGCTTCTGTCACTTAGCATGAAGCTTTGGAGGTTCCTCCACATTGTGGCATGAATGGGTGTTTCATTCTCTTTCTGGATAAATAATATTCCACTGTATGGATAGATAAGACTGGATTTTTTTTTGATCTTCTAGTTTTGCATTTGCAAGAACATCATATAATTTTTTTGACTTAGCACATGTTTGCAGTGCATAGTGATTACATTTGTTGTGGGGAGCTGGTACACAACACATCTTAATTCTTTTTTGCTCTGTCTCCTGTCTCTGTCTTTCTCAGAGCCTCACATTTCTAGCATGTGTGCTACCACTGAGCCACATACCCTCTGTGTCTGTAGGCTCTGTTTGCCGATAGCTTGTACAGGTGTCTGCCAATGTCTCTATTGTGTATGAAGCCTTTTTCCTTAGAGTTTTGTGGTGGATGCTATTTAGGAGTCAGGACTCTGAGTATGGTCTCCTTGATGCGCAGTGAATTTCCACACATTGACCCTGAGGTCTTGCTTGAGGCTGGACACCCACAGTAGTCGCCATCCTTTTCAGGCTGATATATTCAGTCCGAGGCCTATGGGCTGCATGCTAGTATGCAGCCCCAGAAGACGGAAGTTTTATCATTCTTGTGCAATCTTTACTGATGTTTTTCATGGCTCAGGTGTACGGAGCTCCAGCTCAGACTGTAGGGCTGTGCTGTGGCACGGGCCAGGGCTGACACACGTAGTCAGATGGAAACTCTCGCAATCAGGTGTTACACGCGCTTGTGTGACATGCTGGGAACAATGTGCCAGTGACTGATGACAATATTTCTACATACTGCAGGTATCTGTGTGTAGTTGTGAGTGCAGGCACTTATTATTATTAAGCAGACCTATAAGCTTTTTTATTTAATTATGAAACTTGGCCTTATGTTACTTCATCAAAAAATTTAAGCTAATTAGTACTTATGCCCATTGACTATGTTATATATTCTATATGCAGCCTGAGATGATGACTCATTTCCCCCTAGCGTGGTCCAGGCTGGGCACTTATGCTTTAAGGAAGTGTTGCTGGTGTGAAATTAGTGAGTACTAGCATTTGGTTCTTCACTTTAATTCAGGTTCGTCATTTTAAAAGCAGTTTAAAGTAAGATTTGTGAAGAAACTGGAATCCTTCAGTTTCCCCCATGAGCCACAGAGGGAAGAGGGAAATGATGGGTGAGAGGAGGAAGTTGAAAGCAGGAGAGTGAGGGAGCTTGGGGCCCGCTGCCCCTTTGGGAGGGGACAGGGCAGATGCCCACGGGGTGGCGGGCAGGGAGCAGAATTCCGCACTCCTCACAGCTGGTCCTGTCTGCATCAGGCACCTGCAGCCCTTCTGTGACACATTTGCTGGGCTGCAGCAAACTTCAGTCATGGGTCCATCCAAACAGCTCTTCCCACAGCCTTTCCGGAAGAGTCCACCCCTGTGGCCCTCCTCAGTCAGGTCCAGGAGGAGGCCCTGCTCTGACGAAAGAAAAATGTGACACTGCTTATGCACAAATGCAGCCGTTTCTTCTTTGTGTCTTAGTACGCTTAGTGAGTCAGCCCTGTGCTGTTCCCCGGATGCTGCAGCCTAACTCTAGTAAAGCTTCTAGGGGCATATTTTTGCCTATTCATGATTGTTATCTCAAGCAAAGTAGGCTGGGCCGGTAACACCTAAAGCCACTGGCACCGGAAGTGGCCAGCTGCAGGGTGAGTAATGCTCAAGGTAGTTAACTGCAGAAAATGACTTAGATCAACAGAGAATCTGGGAGCCAGCCATTTCCCGCCAGAAGAGCTCCCCAAGGCTGCTGTCGCTGCTGGCTCTACTGCCAGGACAGGGCATAGTGGAGGCCACTAGGAGTAAGAGCTGGGAGTGTGTGACATTCTGAGCTCAGGGCTATTGAGAGGAAAGAGCTACACTTTGTCTGCTTGTGATTTCTATAAGAACTGAGCAAAGTAACCCTCAACTCATTGGTCCCAGTAAGAGGACAGAGGTAGCTGGTGACTGTGGGAAAACATGGCAGACACTGGAGCTCCCCTCCGGCACGGATATGACATCCCCACCCCAGTGCAGGTGAGGCAGTGGAACATGTCAGCGCAGACAGCCTCCTGAGGCCCCTCGGGTCCTGCTGGACACACCTCAGGGGGGCTCACTATTTAGCTGAGAGGAGGCAGGTGGGCCTGAAGGGACTCTGTCAGAGGTCAGCAGAGGCTGCCTGGAGTCATCAGAGGATGGAATGGAGCAGCAGCACAGCCCAGAAGATACAGAGTTGGGCCAATGAGGTCACCAGGGACAAGATGCCTTTTCCAGGTGTCTTGAGGCTGCACAAGCCCAGGAGCTTAGAAACCACTGAGGGACAAGGAAAGAGATGAGAAAATCCTGAACTGATTTTGAGTTTGAAATGACTAACTGTAGCTGGAATTAGAAATGTCCAGCAGTATTGGGGAGACATTGGTTCTGGGACTCCCACAGAGACCAAAATCTAGGGCTGCTAATAAGAAATGGTGTAGTTTTTGCATAGAACCTAAGCACATCTCCTCATCCATGTTGTCATCGCTGTATTACTTATAATACCTGAAAGAATTGAAATGCTATTAAATAGTCGTTATTCAGCATTATTTAGGGAATAGTAACAGGAAAAAAACTACATATTTATTACAGATATAGTCCTTTGCCTGAATATTTTTGATCCATACTTGATGGACCCTAGATACAGAAGCCTAGAATATGAAGGGTTGTCTGGTTTCTGTCACCAGATGGGATTGGAGCTTGAGCTAGAGGTTATGAGCTGCAGCCTCATTGTCCCCTGCACCTCTGCGTTTTCATTGGACAAAGAGGGAGACATCACAATGCCTCCCACTTCAGGTTATTGTGAGGCATAAACATGCTCCCAGTTAGGACAGTGCTTGGCACATAGCAAGTGTTCAATAAACGCTGGTTCCATCAATGGCAGAACTCACACATCCAGACACACGCCAAACAACAAACCGAGAAACGGAAGGTGATCAGCAAAGGAAGACATGCGTGCACACTTCCCCATTCTAGGTCTGTGGAACTGTACAGGTGACCAGGAAATCAGACTTCCTGACCCCCAGGGTTCTAGCTTGTGACCAACTTCTGACAGTCGCCACTGTTGCTGATAACGCAAAAGCTAAAGTAAATATTGATTACAGGCTAAGCATCAGCCAGTGCAGATGACAAGGCCCCGGCTGGCTTTTTTAGAAAAGATTTTATAGGTGTGCACCTGGCAAGCAACCTTGGATCTTACCCTTCACCACGTGGTTACGGGTTTAACCTTATCAATTTACTCAATGTGTAGTCTGCCCCACCCCCGTCTCTCTCTCTCCATATGTATTGTATGTAAAAAATACATTCTGTTCAGCCATGTCTTTTGGCAGTTGAAAAGATGAACTGGTCAATTTGATAATAGCTTATCACTGTAGGTATGTTATTGTTAGGAATTAGAGCCAAAATATATATTATGTGATAGTTTTCCTTGTGACTTCTTTGTTCATTCTTACATTGCCCATAATAACATTTTTAGGTTTATTAACCAAGTTTTTTATCTTTCACAGCTCTGTACCTATGTTTAGTGTCTACCAATGTCTGTTATAATAATGTGCAGCTGGCTTTCAGCCAGCTCATTATTTGTCTTTCAGAGAATTGGCTGCCTTCCCCAGGATGTGCTCCTGATCTCCAGAATCCTTTATTCCTCACTATTTTTGCTCATTATGAAAAGATCAAAACCTTAATTTTGTGACAGGCTGAGTGCCTGGCCTGGTCTTCCAGCACCAAACCAAAATAAACTAAAAACCACATAAAGCTGTTTAAGGAAATTCCTATTGCATTGGGAACAGAAAGCTTTTTGTGGTGTATCAGGTCTTCTCTAGGAAGCCCCCAGAGTCCCTGTGCACATGAACTTGGCTTTGGAGTTAGATTAAGATGGTATTCTTTCCTTTTGGCTAGTACTTCGAGGGACTCAGATGGTTCTTCCGGTTTTGATGGGTGTGTGTGTGTGTGTCTGTGTGTGCACTCATGTGTGTCTTTGTGTGTTTAATTTCCTTTTCCCCCCAAATACTCATGCTTTTCTACCATGAAATCATTTGTGTCTAAATTATGACAGGGAGTACTTGGAAGCCTTTTTTTTTCCTGCAGAGTTTTGAGCACAGATGCGTTCCATAGTGTGCACGAACAACCAGGTCCCTGGTTGTCCTCAGGGACCATGAGGTGGGTGGTAAAGTCACCAGTGGGCTCTGAAAGCTCCCTCAGCTCAGAAGGAAGCAAGCATCACAGGAAAGACACATTCTGGAGGCTGTGGCGGGTTGCTCTCAGCAGGAGAGTATCCACAAGTTATTTCTAAGCAATCCATTCACAAGCTTAATCTATAGGGTAGCCACTGTTTTCTTTTAGGTTGCTTGGTGTTATGGCTTGTGTCAAAATGTCCCCCCACCACCAAGCCTCATGCAGTCATAGGTGGGGGCCTTTCAGAGGTGGCTGGACCTACAGTGTGTGATGCTGGGTTTGAGGATGTGTGATTACTAAATTTGTCCACTGATTGGTTTGCAGAGTTCTGGGTAGGATTAAGGGTGCCCCATTGTGGGTGGGAATGGTGCCCACCCTAAGAGCAGGTGGCCTGGTTACAATATAAAGGAACAGAGAAAAGCCTATCACTGGTTGCTTGCTGCCTTGTGCCTGCCCTGCTTTGCCATGGACTGTTTCTTCTCTGACGCCCCTCTGCCACGCCACCCTACCTTGGAACCAGCTGACTATGAACTGAAACCTTCACAAACTGTGAGCTACTATAAACCGAAATTCCTCCAACTTTGGGTGTTGGATGTTTTGTCTTAGCAGTGAGAAAAAGTAACTAAGACACTTTGGGAGCCCCTGACCAGCCTGGCATGGATGTATACACTCCAAATGGTCCAGTTTCCTAAGAGTTGGAAAATGAAGGAGAAATGAAATGGAGAGATAAGAACCAAGGAGGAGATGGTGATGTCTGTGTTATTTGTGCTTCTCCCTCTTTGCCCTCCAGCACGCTCTGCCGGAGGCACGGCAGCCAGTGTGAGGGGGATGTGTCCCTGCGCGGCTTGTCCTGATGGAATGCAAGGCTGGAATAGATGCCTGCCTGAGCCAGAAGTCAAGGTGTGGTGCAGGCGGGCTGCTAGGGAGCCCTGAACAGCTTGCTGAATTATTACTTCATTCGTGGCCGAGGCAGCAGGAGACAAGATGATGCGTGAGGGAGAAGCCTGAGGACGCCCACATGGGCCGAGGGAAGCAAAACAAACATGGGAAGACAGGCCAATACTGACCTCTGCTTGCAGGACAGAGGCTGCAGGACCCTATTTTGTCTGGCTGTGTTAATCAGTGGCAGAGGGGTGGCAGGGTGGGATCCCCTTTCTTCCTCCCTCCCGGCACTCACTCCTGAGGCTCTGGGGGACATTTCCCCTATTCTTTGTACTTAGGGTACCCTGAACATTTTAAAGAAGGGTGGCTGTTTTGAGCACGTTGCAAATTTAGGTGTCCCGTATACCTTCTCTTTCTTGCTTCTTCCTGTATAAATGTTGCCTAAGAACAAGGGACCAGGAGTCCACTGTGTGGGAAGGAGCAATAAAATCCTTTTACAAGTCCGAACTCCCTATTTTAGAGGCAACTTAGCTCTGGCCAGCAGCATGGTCCTCTGGGACCAGTCGCCTTCTCTTGGTTTCTCTCCAGTGGAGGCCCAGGCCATTCCTTTAAAAGTCCCCCTTTGGGGGGTTATTTTTATCACTTCCTACCAGATTTTCATGTTTCCAATCCTCTTCCCACATTGTTTTGCTTGAGGCCATGCCTCAGATGCCCATTGCTTTGTCAAATGTATCCCAACTGTCACTCATCAACAGGACGTTTCTAGCTCTTCCCCACCTCCTGCCTCTGTCCCAGGACCAGTGGAAGGCCTGCACTTAGCATGTTGTTCTGTTGCTCGATGGCAAGATGACAAACTCTTACCCTTTTCAAGTACTTCTTACTGAGTTGATACCAAGTATTTAAATGAACATGACACGATCCCACCTTGCCACTGTGTAACGAGAGGAATACTGGTCAACAGAGAGGATACCTATGTTTACTTACACAAACGTACACAGTTCTCCACAGAGGGAGAATATTACCCCCAAGGGTAGACAGATCAGTCTGTTTATATTACAGTTGTCCAAGAAAGCGGCCGATTTTATTCCCCTTTTACATTTTCCTTTGGTTTTCAGGAAGGCATTGGAAGAACTAGCCTGTCATGATAGCATGGGCTTAGTGGACGGCAATTTTTCAGGCATTCCAGTACAGTGATACATTGCTCTGGGCTTCATTCAGTAATAAGCTGCTATCTAGATTTATAACTGTAGAGGGTGCTCTTGTCCTAATAACAGCATCGCCATCCTCAGTAGGAAAAGGAGCCAGGTGGAGATGACGGGGATATACCCTTTTATTACTCTGCATCTCATAGGGATGGAAATCAGGGGCCTTTCAGAAGAGATAATAAATCCACACTGCTGCACATTACCTTTTATAACATGTTTTCCTTAAGAATAAGCTCATCCTCTACTGTGCATCCTCCTGTTACAATGCTGTGAAAAGTGGGAAAGCCCTCCTGTCTTAAAATATGCTTTACGTTGGTCCTGCCTCCTAGTTACTGATACTTTGCATGCCAGGAGCCGGGAGTGACTTTTCAAAACCAGCTAGTGGAGCAGGGTGTCTTTACATTGGACCTTTAGTGCTTCTCAACTTCATTTGGAATGAGGTCCACCTTCCTCCTGTACCTGTGAAGGCCTTGGGGGGTACAGCTTCTCCCTCCCCTTCAGACTGTTTCTCTGCTCTCTCTTATTTCCTTCCCCACTGACCGGGACGCCCTGGGGACCGTGCACCACCCTTTCCAGTGTCTACTCTTCTGTCTGTTCCGTGAAGTCCCCGCGTGTCTCCCTGTGGCCGGCTCCTTCCCAATTCTCAGTCCTCAGGCTCACAGGAGCTCTGCAGAGGGGAGTTTTTGCCTACCATCTCTCAAAGAGGCCCCCATTTGAGCCACCAAATATTTTTAAATTAAGGACTTTAAATTGTGGTTTGATCCACACAGATTTCGTATAGCATGAAATTCACTATTGACGTGTCCAACATAGTGATCTTTAGTGTATTCACAATACTGTACAGCCGTCACCATTACTGGATTTCAGAATATTTCCATCACCCCCAAAAGAAAGCAAAAACCCCAAGGAGGTGGCTCCCCAGCTCCTGGCATCCACGGATCTGCCTCTTGTCTCGAAGACTCACCTCTTCTGCACATTTCCCTCCCTCCTCTTTTTAACTGTTCCCCTTTTGGTTTCTTTCCTGACACGGATGAATCTATGCATTTACTGGCTTATCATTTATTCTCTTACTGCAGGATTCCCTTGTGCAGTTGCTCACCTTTCAGTCTGCCTGAACTGTAGTGAGCCCAGTTTAAACTGCAGGAGCTCATCAGGGTGGGAGGTGACATTTCGGGGGCTACTGCAGAATGGCTAGGCAGAGCTCTTCTGATTCAAGACTCTGCCTCCAGTACTCCTCTGCTTCCTCCATGGAGCTCATGTCTCTCCTGATTATTTCCTGTTTTCCACTTGCAACCCAAATGACTGATTGAATCCCATTCTACAGAGTGCTGCGTGGGTTCTGAAAGTCTCAGGAAGGGCTGGGGTCATGCCTCAGGGATCAATGAAAGCCGCATTCACATGGCTGGGCTGTGTGCGGCCCTGAGACGTGTGCTTCTCTTGTATTGTCTCCTTGGGTCTATGATGGCTCTGTGAGGTGGGTGCTTTTATTCCATCCCATTCTAGAGATGAGCTAACCGAGGCTCAGGGCATGAGTACCTTGTACACAGCCATTTTTTGGCAGAGTGGGAACTGGAGTCCCCGCAGGCAGATCCCCCTGGGCTCATGAACTAAACTGGCTCTGCTCCCTTTGCAGCCTCTCTGACTTTAAGCAATGCATGATTGCTTCAGCCTGCAGTATCTGAATTAGTATTAGTGCTCCAAGTAGATGGTTTTCGA